ACGATTAAGGGCAACACTGTTTTTGCCTAGAATCATGGGTTGAGAACCGCGAATCGTTAACTATTATCTAAGCATGCAATGAATCTGTACCCCTTTCCACAGCTATTTGAACATTGGATATGGTCACGAAAATCTGTTGCCTCTAATCATGGTTCGAGAACCGAGGAACATGTACATTGTGAAGTAACATCTACATTGTTTACTCTATTAGAGAAATATTACTTCTTCTTCATCTTTGGAAACATCTACTGGCGATATTATATTTTAAGATAAGGACTGTCTACTTGTTTTATTTCATATTGTGTTTATATTTAATTGACAAGTCGAGTTAAGTTAATTGAAAAACTGCATTAGGATATATTTCGAATCAGTCAGGTTTTTGCTCAGTAAATTGTTTTGTTTTCCGAATTAACCAGATTTTACTATACTGAAAATTACGTAAACTTCTGACACTTTGGATAACGCATAAAGTCCTCCATGGTCAGATTTCACCACGTATTGCATAGCCTCCTTGCTCCTAACTGCCTGGAGGGGCATTTAAGCAGGCCTCGGGTCTATGGTTTTTGAATACCTGATGCATATCGCATCATTTTGTTCATTAGAGCCGTATCTTGCTCATCACAAACGATGCTTCAAAAAATGGTACTCATTATATGCTATTGCATATGCAAAAACGTCGTATGGTACGTAGATGATTCATACAAATTGTAAATGGCGGTATTTGGTTAATTTCCTGTTTTTTTTTAATTTAATTAGTCGCCTGCTTTTAGGTTTATTGGCGAGGAATCTACTGCGCTTGGAAAACATGAGAAATTCACGGATTCTCCCACGTGGCTAATCGATCCGATTGATGGCACCACAAACTTTGTTCACAGGTAGACATGTGTGTTTATTTCTCGAGTTTTTATGATCAATAATAGACGACAGTAGTTGTTTCCTGCAAAAGGAGTGATAATCACAAATCAAAACTCAACAAGTATATTATATAAGTATAAAATGTAAGCCACAAATAAATTTAATTAGTTTGACTGTAAAATATCAATTGCCCATTTTATTTAAGGCTTCCTTTCGTCTGTATTTCGGTAGGCTTTTACGTTAACAAGCGACCATCGTTCGGTATCATTTACAATCCAATACTGGAAGACCTGTTCACTGCTCGTCAGGGACAGGGCGCGTATAAAAATGGCTTCCCGATTCACGTGTCCAAAACTACAGGTAAGAACCGTGGCTTTTTCAGTGTGCAGTATTTTACGTGAGTGCCAGTGTTTAAACGTGATGTGATTTTTTATAAAACAGTGCAAAAGATGCATAGTAATTAGTTTAAGGCAAATGTG